TATATATATATATATAATCTTTTTAAAATCGAAAGAAAGAATGATTTTATCTCATATATATATATAATCCAACAAAAATTGATTACTTTTTTTTTCGTATTTCAATTTGATTTAGGGTTAGATCCCTGAATATAAAATTGGATTAAAAACCAACAAATTTTATAATTTTAGTTAAATTTATTTTAAAAAAAACATATTAAATTATACAAATTATAAAATCAATGGTAAATGTATTAAATAATGAAAATAACTATTGACCTCTAAAATATTAAAAACTAATATGAAAGAGACAAAACTAATAGAAATTATTCAAAAATAATGTGATTAGTTTATGTTAGAAATATATACAACTTATTTTATGAATATTTATAAAAATCTTATGTTTTAATTTTTGATTATTAAATTATTAATAGAGAGTCAGATGGAAGAGACCAAAAGTGTTTCTTGTTATAGTCCTCACAAGAAATGATGTCATTTTGGATCAAAACTGCTCAACACAAGAGACACTAAGATTCTAACTCTCAAGGCATCAGGTTGCACTTTTTAATGGTAAGAATGGAATCACAGTCGTCCTTCAACTGTAAAAATGCCTTTTTAATCTTACTAAAATCTAGCAAAAAAATTCTGTTGTAAGTTCTCATCATAAAAGCATTTCCCTTTTATTGGAAGCAAGAATTAATTGCCGTGGAAGAAGGCATGGGGACAATCCTTTGAAGAACTAATTAAATGATTTGGTGGTTGCGTGCAAGGCGATCCTTCGGTGGGCTGTCAAATGCAGCTACTCCAAGTAATACTGGAAGCCAAGTGTTTTGCTTGGGAAGAATCTAAGCTCTTTGGTTTGATCGAATGCTATTTCCATGCTCTGATCAAACCAAAAAGGCTCAGATACATTATTAGTAGATCAAATTTTTCTGATGCTTTGAATCATGCAATTTGCAGTCCCCCATGCCATTACAGACAAAGGTTGGCAAGCCACTGAAAAGCTTTCGGCATGGAGTCTGAGAGGTCAAGGAACACAATAATGGCTGATGTCCTGAACTTTTTCTCGGCTTCCTGCCTTTTATTGTCTCGTCTCAGCTGGATTTGCTATGGTTCTTCATCATATTGTCCTTTGAATGCTGCAATACAGATGGCATAGGTAGCAACGCATCCATGTGCAAACGCTTTGAGTTCAGAAATCCAATCTATCCATTCATGACTTGAATCTCCATTTTTCTTTTCTACATTTGCTTGTGATGTTGGGGAGATCATGACAACAACAAAAATTGGAATCAAGTAGGTGTATGTATATGGGTTTCCAGGCATATGATTCAAGGAAACCCAATCCAAGGTAGATGGCGTAAGCAATTAGGCGGTCTCTTCATATGACACCAATGCCAAGCTACTACTGGAGAATCTTGGCCTGGTCTTCTCAGGTGAAAGCCCCTCATCCATGGCCTTCCTTTTATTGCTCTTACTGTTGTTATTACTGCTGCAGCTGCTAATGGTACTACTGTTGGTTTCTTGGTGTTGTGATGGTTGCTGCTCCTTCAACTTGCCTTTTAGCATGTAAGGTCTGAGCCTGATGAGGTCTGAAAGCTGTATTGGCTTGAGGAAGAACTCCTCAGCTCCTCCTTCCAAGCATCTGTCATCAGGACACATCAAAGCATTTACATGTCAGATGTAGGTGAGAAGAAAGGAGTCTAAGGTGGGACTTTCTATCCTTTTTTCTCTCATCACATCAACTTCAGAATATTGAGCAAATCTAACATCAACATGGAAAAGATTTTGGATGTTTGACTTTATTGGCGTATAGGGGTGGCTTTATCCTGATTCCACCCAAGCTATGACCACCGCACAGATGACTCCGACCCAACTTTTATGAACCAAAGTTGGGAAAACAAACATGCCTCGAGGACCACTTGCTGGTTTGGATGTTTCCCCCCATCCTCGCTCGTTACCCCCAGTGATGGGCAAGATATGAGATACTGTGTGAACCAGGGAAGATCTAATTTACTGCTTGCCTTTATTATTATTATTATTTTTTTTTTTTTCTCTCCTCTTTTGATGAAAAGCAAGTGAATTGAAGAAGAAGAAGAAGAAGAAGAATTTTGAGCTGGATCTCTTTCTTGGGACTTCTTAGCTGCATAAATTAGTGGCTTTGTGTTTGTTTGTGGGATTCCTAAAAGGAAACAAATTGGATACAGCTCTTGAGGTATCAGCCTCTGGAACAAAGTTCATATCTTGGTCACTGTAAACTTAAGAAAGCTGGAAGAGAAACCAACAGCATCTTGGGATTCTTTTATTGTCCTTCCTACTTCACCTTTTCTTAAAGTTGCAAGACTGTAAAGGTGCTCCATTTATGCCGAGTGAAACCAAACCAAAAATCTCATGCAAGAATTTAATGGTAAGGAATCCACTTCCTCACCTGTTGATCCTGGAAGGCACATTCTCAGAGGACATGATCACAACTGGAACGTCCTTCAAAGATGATGACCCCTGATATAACAAGTAAACCAAGCACACACACACAAACACACATAACTATCTTGAAACAAGCTAAAAAAGCAATTAAAAGTCGAAGAATGGAAATCGGACCAGCCATCAGTTCTACCTTGATCTTCTTGAGCAGATCATACCCTGTCATCCCGGGCATACAGTAGTCTGTTATGACCAAATTCACCGCTATTTCCTATAAGCACGATTACCATCCATCACGATTCATCAGAAACGAGAAGAACCCATGCTGTGAAATCGATGGATGATTTGACTTACGTTCTTGTCCGGTGAGGAAGGCGATGAGATATCCTGGTCCTCTCTCAACCCCAGCAATTCCAAGGCTTTGCTCCCAGAGTCTACTGTGGTAACTGAAGCAAACAACACATTTCTCTCAGAAACACTCGAATCGAGTGGGTGCCGAATCCGCTGTTCCCCATTCATGCAAGTAAGTATAAGCAGTGAGAGTACCTTGGTAGGATGAGGTCTTGAGGAGCCTCTCGATGAGCTTCCTGTCGATGAGGCTGTCATCCACAGCCAGCACATGAAACTGTGCCTCCCGATCAACAGCCATATTCTCTTCCTCTCTCTCTCGATGACGACAACTACAACAGCAATGAAGAAGAAGAAGAAGAAGAAGAGGCGGAGGAGAGGTTTCTGTTCACTTCCCTTCTGTTTTCTCACCAGCGGATTCCAACCTCCAGCAAGACGATCAAATATAATCCACCTTGCAACCCACCAAAATCTCACCTCCTCGAAAGGAATCCCCTCTGCTCTATCTATGAATTGGATACCAAGCGAAGCCACCACAGAAACGGCACTTCCTCTCCCCCGTCCGCCATGGAGTGATGTTTTATATGTAAGCCACCTCCTGACATGTCCTTTCGGGCCAAAGTTAAGCAACTTGCTACGAGATTAGTGCGGCCATGATCGAGGGCTGAGGAGGGGCGGAAGGCCAGCAGATGAAGGGCGTGGAGCAGAAGCGGGGAAAGGCTCGGTGGTGGTGGACCACCCAATCCTGGCATGAGATTCGCTGACGTCACCGTCGGCCCTCGCTTTTCTTTGGTTGTGTGAGTTCTTGTAGTCTTTGCAGGATCTGCCCCTCCCCCACAAGCACTTGGAAGGCAATTCCATGTGATCCCTTCTAGATTTGCCTCCCCATCATCTCTGTCCTTCTGCTCCCTCTCTCTCTCTCTCCCTCTCTCTTTCCTGCTGTCTCCACGGATCTTTTTCCATCTCTTTCCTTCTCTCTCTCCTCTTCTTGCTTCCGTGCCAGACTATTCAATGTAGCATACAAAAATAGCAGCCTGAGGCATCATACGCACCACCATCTGTATCTTCATGCATATATGATAATAATTTAGTATTGCTGAGGAGTCGGTCGGATGGGAGACCAAAGGCATAACAAGTATCATGCACGTATATATATATTAAAGAAGTTGAGGTTGACACAAGAATGGATGCTTGCTGAGTGAAGATTGTACATTTTTTGGTAGCAGACCTGGAAGAAGACTCCACCGGCCATTGTCTTTCTATGACTGATTTCTTCCAGATTTCAATATTGGGATCACATACCATTTCATTTTCTTGTGCTACCATATAAGCTTGGCTGGTCAAGCTCTATGGTGTGGGCCATGTAAGTATGTAATTGAGGATCTGATAGACAAAATGATCTCTTTTAGCTGATGTGGTGTGTGTCCACCAATTTATGGTTTGGGAGTCTCGTCGCTTGAAGTTAAAGTGGGTGTTGTATATATAATTGTATTATTAGCTGATGTAGTGTGTGCATTCGTTTTTGATCTTATAACAAAAATCTATGCCGGGAGAGTTTAATGTAGCTTATGATGGTGTACTCGATGTAATTTTAATTATGATTGTCAAATTTATTATTATTATTATTATAGGTGATTTGGGTAGTCAAATATAATACTTTCACCTAAATATTCCCTCTAATTATTCAGGTTATATAATTGTCCCTCAATTGATTCAAATTTAGTAGGTTCTTTTAATAATAATAATAATAAAATTACGTGGATCAATTTTTATTTAAATGTACTCCGAAATAGTTACTCAAAATCTTTTGGACGATGATATGGATTTGGGTTGACTTCTAGTCGTATTCCAAACATGAATGCATCTACAAGTGTTAGATTTTACCTTATATTAAACTAATGAATGTTCTCTTGCTTTAATTTTCGTTGGATAATAAATATAAATCTGTACTCCCAAAATCTTATTAATATTTAGATGCGTCGTGTACTGGATTTCATATGGTCATAGAACTTAGCGTTCATCTGGGATGGATGTCTGTCGGAGTCATAATCTATCGTTTAAGATAGATAGGAAAAAAGGTCTTTCGAGTGTCAAATCAATGTGTGATCAATTTTTCTTTTGTAATGAGAACGCATGAGGTGATCAAGTTAGATCTGACTCAAAATTTGACTTGACCAAAAAATTGTCGTCAGTCAACCAGTTCATTTTTTGGATTTTATTATTCGGTATTAGAGTATGAAGGAAGCTGATTACGACTATCAAATATCATCTCACAACCTCTAAACATTAAACTCATGTGGTCCATGTAAAGTTCTTTCACACGCCAATTTGGAATAGTAGTTCGGTTCGACGGCTCAATCAAGAAACTGTACCATTTAATTAGACATTGGACCGATTCAACATGGCGTGAAGCGTCCTTAATTTCCAATGCATAGTAGCAATGAGATCTTGACCGGCTCGGGCGTGATCGTTGACCGTCAGCCCCGCGTGAGATGCATGCAAACCACTCGGGTCAACAACCCACAGACTCTTCTGTGACATGGTGGCCCAGCTTGATCTGATCTGATTCGATCTGTGGATTCTTCCAAGTCATAAGCAGTAGCCGTGGATGGACTGGCACTGACTAGTTCACGAGAGATCATATGGGTTTCGATCGTGATAGGACAGATTGACTCCACCTGATTTGTGATCGGCTCGATCGAGTTCAGCAACCGTTGACCAACCACAAAGGTTCGAATTCCCTTGATGAACAACAATAGGCGGTAATTCACAGGTTTCCTATACATATGTATTCATAGTGCGTTTGCTTTGGATGTCAGATAACAACACTACAATAACTTAGCTACATTATTCCATTTATGCAGATAAAATTCCTTCTAAAGTGAGACTCTACTATGTTCACAAATGAAGCTGCTTGCAAAATTACTCGAGCCGGTCATCTATCAAGCTCCAAAAACTGAGGATCTCAATAATACTAGACCAGTTCGATTTGACATGGTCAAACCAACCTTTGTTAACCCCATGTAGAGCAATTCAGTCCAAGATCCACCCAAGATTTAATAGACTCGACACTCGATGCCACCTCACCTTGCTACCAAAATAACGGAAGAAAGATCCAAGGATGGAGAAGACCTCAGGTCAGATATATACCAGAAATATACAGATTGCTCTGCCTTACATAACGTCAAATATTGCCACCTTACCTCCTCAAAAATAAAGGTTGGATGTGAAAGGAACACGGTTCACAGTATCATTTGACTTCTGTTAATGTTCCATCTGTATCAGTATATACCATCAAAGGCTTATGATTTCCAAAACTTTTCAACCGACAGTCATAAAATCAATTGGAATAGGTACAACCAATGGAATTCAATCGGAGTTGGCTAATTTCGGACAATTATCATTTGACAGCTGCAAAAACGAATAAAAAAAGAGGCCGTAAGCAAAAGGAGAGGAAGAAGTTCAGATTGAAAGACAAAATGAAAACTTATAATTATGCGAGTGAAATGAAGATGTTGCTACTATTGCAAATAATAATATTTCCTAAAACTATTGTATTTGTTGCATTAATCATCCATGCATATGACAGAAAAGAAAGAACATAAGTATATGAAAAGGACAAATAGTGACCATCAATCTTGGTTCTCCACAAAAAAAGAAGAGAGGTGTCATGACATTTAAAATCTATTTGAATCCCAGGAGTATTCTCTTCAAAATATCTTTTTTTCTCTAGTTGTTTTCACATTACCCGACACTTCGGCATCACAGTTTTCAAAGTTGTAGGAGCAAATGTTTTGAATTTTTATTATATATTTACTACAATTATTTCTATTAAATATATCATAGTTACTTCTTGATGAATTACTTTCCAATATCTTTTGTTGTTATCATTTATGATTTTTAAAATTTTTATAGTAGTTTCCTTTTTTATTGAAAAGTTAGATATCATATCAAATAATAGAATAAAAACATATTTTAAGTTCTCAGATCCTATTTCGCCTTTGCTAATATTTTTTATTATATTTTTTAAGTTTATTCTTGGCTTGTCTTGATCTTGTAAGTCTAATCTGAGCACTTCTATAAATTTGATCATATCATCACAAGTGGATCCCGATCTTGATATCAACCATACAAATTACAAAGAGAAGCCTAGTGCTTCAGTTTCATCAGCATTGTCTTAGTTTCATCAGCATTGCCTGAACCCAGGCATCGGGCGCCTCAGGCAAGCACCTTGTTTTAGCAAAGCAACCGAGCTGGATGATCAAGTTTGGTTCGATTGAACAGTAACTTAATTGGTTCAATTGAACCTACTATTTCTAAAGCTGCACAAGCAACCCACCTTGCGTGCACGACCCCGGCCCATAAACACGCACAGCCTCTACCTCTATCACTGACGAACGGGTCCAAAGTCTAGCTTTCGTGTGTAGTTCCCTCTGTTGCCACTACTTCCATGTGCAGCTCCTTCCACCATCGAGGGAGCGGACCGTAGCTTTCGCTGCCACCGATAGACACATCTAAAGCTTCCTCCGCCCGTAATGTCGCTGTCCGAAGTTTTCTCGGTCACTGCTGCTACTGTCAGTAGTTTCCTCTGCCACCGCCACTGTAGTCCAAAGTTTTCTCTGTCGCTGTTGTTACTGTCCGAAGCTTCCTTCGCCACCACAGTCGTCAATCAAAAGTTCTTTCATCACAGTCGTTCTCTCTTTCTCCACTTTCCACCGCCGATGACTATTTTCTCTCCTCTAACTACTATTAACAGTGGATTAAATACCGTTAATAGCATATTGTTAATTACTATTACCTTATAATAGTCCCTATTTAGATTTTAACACTGCTAATCTCTATTTATTTAGAACCTATTATTGAAGACGATGAGAAGAAGAGAAAGATGAAGATGGACGAGAAGAAACCTATATAATAGTCATCTCTTGCCATTGTTGAAAAGGATAAAACATATTTTGATGAAGTTGGACGAGAGGAAGAGAAAGTTAATGATATGTTTGAGAATGACGATGTTGATTATGATGATGATTACATTTGAGGTAAAGTTTTATTGTTGAGTCTTTCGACATTTTTGTTATTAGAAGATGGATAATGTGACTTGATACTTTAGATCTTTTTTTAATACTTATATAATCATATTTATCAATTATATTATATATTTTTTATATTTTGATATTTTAGAGTGCCTCGCTTTGCTCGACCAGGCACTTTGGTGGGCACCTAGCGCCTCGGACATTTAATGACCTTGGTGCCTAACGTTTTTTAAATCACTACATTATTCATGATAAATATAAGGTCTATAGAAGGAGTCTGCAAGAAAAATATAATGGTTCTAATATTCTTAAATAGAATGCGATCATTAATGTAATCTCTCTAATTATAGTTTGTACTACTCTCCTGATAATAGCAGCCATGAAGTTTTTGACTCTGGATGATCATGTAACAAAGTTTAACATCTACATAACTTTTTGCTGTCTAGAATCTATGATAGTAAAGTGAAGATAATAAACAAAAAGACCGAATACAATGCATGTTTATTCTAACTAGTTTGTAAATAGCAACTAACAGATAATTAGATAGATTGTGACAGGTCCAATACCTGTTATGCTTTCACATTTGTGCACACAAAGCTCAATCGAGCCAAATAATTGCTTTCAGCAAAATTATGTAGTGTGCGATGAGCTCGTGTCCCTTCATATTCATCTTTATCAACTTCTTGCTTGAATGTTTCTCTACAAGCATTGACATCCTGAAGGGACAGATGCAGTTAGTGGTACATTAAACTTGCAGCTAATATTGCACTTACTAAATGTTCCAGTGCTAGAATCTTGCAGATACAATTATAACTAAGCCCTAGGTTCAAAGGGTCCAAGAAGGATTAGCAAACAATTTCATACTTCCAAAAAAGAATTAATTATAGAAAATAAGGCAAAAATGAAAATTGCTTCCAAAACTAATGTCGACCTCAAATGATGATTAAGCAAGAAAACAACAAGAATGGAACCTTGCAGGAAGTAAAGGTTCAAACCATAGCCAAAAAGTATCGCAGCAGACCATACCATATCAACCAGTACATGCCAAATTAACCATGGATTGAAATGTGGACTACCCAATCTCAGGTTGTATGAAGTGAACTGATTATATCTAGCCCATTTTTTCATAATTTTACCAAACTTGCATTGGAACTGATTTAAAACCCTATATATTTCAAGCAAAACTGGTCACAGTAGAACCCTGAGAATCACTCCCATCTCCTCGAAAGTCTGATCACTCCTCTTTTCACACCCTCTCCCCCTTTCTCATTCAAAGAAGAATAACACAACAAGAGAGATATATAATTAAAAGAGGCAAAATTAGCACTTTATCCCAATCCCATTGTGCTGCCAAATTCGAAATGGCAAAGCATTCAACTAACGTATTGTCTAAAATTATTTTACTAATGAAGCCTGGAGACTGGTGGAAAGTGGAGACCATTCTTTACTTGCTTCAGTTGCTTGCACAACCACCCAAAACCTCCCATGAGTAGCCCTAGAAAGAGAATCTGAAGAAATTCCACCAAGGACTTCCAAAGAAGATATGAAACAAATTCTAGCAACAGGTTAAATATTCATGGAAGATTAGATCAAAGAGATCTTCATGTAACAGAACAAGAGAAGCAACAACCAGAGGCCTTGTTATTGTTCAGGGAATTGATTACAGCAGGATAGATTTATTCATTAAAAAATCTCTTGTAGATCATAACTAGAGTAGCTAGAACTCTAAAAGTACTCACTAGTCACTAGAAACTGACTATTTTTCTCCTCAACATTTCAAAAATTGAGCAATAAAACAAGATAAACCACCAGGTCGACTTCCGATCGCTGATTTGTTTTATATTTGTCAAATCACTTGTACTTCAATCCTCAAATGAAAAGTGCTTGACCTTGGAACTGAAATTTACATGGATTAGACTTTGTTGTTATAGTATGAATTAGAACGGACAATTGCCTCTTAACACATTAAAAATGCTCACCAATGGATCAAACAAGCTACCTACAGCAGAGCACGCAAAGTCAGGAAATATTTACCTGTAAAAATTTCAACATTTGCTCTTCAATGGTACCATACATTGCCAGTGTTTCTACATTAATCGGACGTGTAGCACCCATGCGATGAGCACGACTAATCACTTGTTCTTCCATGCTGATTACATATAACAAATTCATAGTACAGGTTAAAATGAGATGCCTATCCATCTGCTGATAAATAAAAATAGAAAAAAAACTGTAAAGAGGAAAAGCACATAACAAACAGTAAGCAATTAATGGAAGAAACAAAATTGAAGATAACTATTGCCTGATTAAGACAAGTTAATGTCCTTACTTCCTGAATAGCTACAACAGAGCATTAATTAACACTAAAAAAGGAATTTACTAATGCAAGTGGTGGTACCTCTTGCATATATGCATTTACTTACTGTATACAGGTAAACAAGAGAATTACCTTCTATCCCAGATTGGTTCCATCAAAAAAACATGTGTAACAAAGCTCAGATCTAGGCCCAAGGCTGCACTTCCATCCATTAGCAAAACCATGCAATTTGGGTCTAGTTGGAAGGTCATCAATGATTTCATCTGAACAAGACAATTAAGTAAGATCCATCCATGTGGGACGAATAATTTTATAATTGGGTAATGACTTCATACCTTGTTGCTGGAATGCATCGGACTATACATTTTAGCAAAGATGATGCCAGCAACTGTCAACTGAAACAAAGAACCAAATATCGACCCATTCACTATAGGTTACTCGGATGATGAATAAACTCTCGAAGACATGTTTAATGTTTACCTGCTGTTCAACAACATGTATATGCTCAAGAAACTGAGAAAAAACAATTACTTTCTCAGGCAGCACCTTACAAGACTCACTATTCTGTGCGGACCAAGCTTTCCGTTGCACAAAAAAACTACAGTTGACCTTAGAAGAATAAAGAAGCTCCTTGGTTTTATCTATTCCATCTACAGATTCACCAAATTTTCTGTTTGTTTCTTGTAAAACCTTCAATCGCTCTACTAAATATGCAACTTTGCTGCTAGATGTTGACTGCCAGTCAGGATCCCAGTCATCCTGTAAAAGAGCACAAGTAATTCTAGAGCAGTAGTTGAAATAGATCATTTGATGTTAGTTAAAAATAATGGCATGCCTGTTTATATGATGGCTGTAGCTCAATAAGATCCTTGGGAACAGGCCACTTTGGATTTGGATTTTCTGGCCGAGCTATTGTTTCTGGAGATTGCATCTCATAATGATATCCACAGCCAGGTAGAGTGCATCTTTCACTGTCCAGAGCAACACAATCAAGGCACAACATATGCCGACATGGTGTAATAACAGGTAAACGACACCAATTTTCGCACCTAAATGTAGAAACAACAAAATGATTATTATCAGAAAATATCATCAGTTAAAAATTTATATGCATCAATTACCTGAAACAGCTACAACCATTCAAAAGAGAATTCTTAATGAACCCATACTCTTCTGAAAGAGGATCAAGACCATGTTGCACTAGTATATCCATTGTTTCTTGTATATCCTGACCAGCATCTGTTACCTTGATATGTCCAGCTACACAACAAGATAGTCTGACATTCCTAATAGTGCTACTGCGGAACTTCCATTGTTTTGGGTTCAGAAGTGACTCAACATGAGAAGGATCATTCCAGTCAGCCATTAATATATTTCGTCGGACAGTAAGAACCAATTCATTGTAACTTGTTGCGTGCTCTTCAGTAAAATGTAAAAAGGTAATCTTTTTTATGCAAGGAGGTATGCTTTTGAGATCTATTTTCCTTGCACTAATCATAATCCGCTTAAGTAAATGAAAAAGGCGTAACCTTCCCTCCTCCAGTTGTGCTTCAAAAGGTCTAAGTATACCTGCTTCCCAGGATTCCTGATTTTGACCATAAGCTTCATCATGAAGAAATTTGAGCATAGATTGAAGATGAGCTACTTGACTATTTGGGGTATTTGGAGTTGGTGTACCAGTAAGAATCCATCTACTTGCTGCAGTCAAAGAGACAGCCAACTGTAATTTGTTTGTCAAGCTGAGACTTGAGCCAAGCGTATGTCCTTCGTCTAGCATTATCCTAAGCCAGTGCACTTGCATTAAGATGCTCCTCTTGCGAGGGCCCCACTCTGCACTTAACTTGTTGAAGGTGGTTAAGACAATGTCATAATCCCATGCAAGATTATGAGCAGAAGGCTTTCTGTTATCAGCCCACACATAAACACGTAGGTGACCAGGACTAACATGCTTCTGAATTTGGGTTATCCAGTGATCAATCAAATTTGCTGGGACAACAATCAGGGTGGCTCTAGACAAATACAACCTAATTGAGTCCAATGGTTTGGTCAAAGCAATCCTGAGTGCTGCAGAGTCAAATGCCAAATTATCAAGTGAAGATGGGTAATACCATTTTATTGTACCATGCTCAAGCTTTCTTACAAGCCCAAATGCTTGAAATATTTTATGGTACCCCTGAGCCTCTCTTGTATATACTTCCCACTGTGCATTTAGAACTGGCCGTGTCAAACCATTTTTTTCCATCTCTTGGAACTTGCTGTGTGAAAGATTGGCCAACCAATTTAAAGCCTTATTTGTTTCATGATTGATCAGTGAGAAATTATCCTTTAATACACTTGTGAAAAATGAGATGTTTTGCTCTTTCCCTTCTGCAGTTCCTTTTGTATAAAATCCAGGCAAATATGTAATTCTTGTCTTGGAGTCCCAAGACTCTTCTGGAGCACCACAGTTCTGATGTATTGGATCATTGTTCATACTGCAAAACCATGCTGCTGCAGTGTCAAGTGTACTTCTCTCGGATAGCCTTCGCCATTTTCTACAAGCATCACACTGAACCCATGTCTCACTAGAATCAGAACCAACAGTCTCTTTTTTTAGCTTCTTGTAGTTGTTGCGAACAGCAGGAAAAACATGTTCCTGATTCATCAAATGTTCTCCTTTTGCAGCAGTCGATATGTTTGTGCAGCCAACAACTTTTCCTGCAGTCTTTATGTTGTTATCAGAGATAATACCCTTTCCATATTTGTTTAGAAGATTTCTCTTAACTCGACTCAAGCTTCTAGTACTTCTAACAATGCATGTTACAGGCATTGGACTTGATTTTGTGCAAGTTGAAATATCCGACTTCCAACTAGAAGAATCTATCAATTCTGCTGTAAACTTAGAATCTATTGATCTGCATCTATCATATGGGAAGGAATTTGAGTTTTCAACTGAACTAGGTCTCAGTAGGGGCTGATTAAATTGGGTCTCACCCCTTCCTAAATTTTGTGCTATAGATCTTTTTCTTGCTGACATAAAGTTAACTGAATTTAAATTATCAGCAACAAGTTCATAATAACCACATCTTTGGTCCATATTATGCATGCACCAAACTACATCTGCATTATGAGGAGGGTCAGCAACAGTTCCATGAGTTTTCAGGATAAGAGATAGTGCAGTTACAGTTTTCCCTAATCCTGGTTCATCACAAAACATTCCTCCATGGAAATCACATACAGTCGGAGCCATTTCAGTAGATAGTTCACCAGAAACAGAATTCATGTAAAGTGAAAATCCATCCACTGTTGAAAAATCTCTGTATAGAGGATGTGCCAGAACAGCAGTATGGTGCTCACGTTTTAGCATCCACTCAACTGCTGCTTCCTGGTGAGGAAAAAGCTTTAGCTTCGTACATGGCATGATAGGCCTAGCCAAGGATCTTAGATGATGACAAGTGGCTGCAACATTTACAAGGTCCTTGGGGCCAAGTTGATTCAACACATTTGTCAAAACATCATCCGAAATATCCCAGATACCAGGACTTACAAATTCGCCATCAGGTCTTATTCTAGTAGAGTAAATCTTCTTTTCCTTCCCAATGCTAGGTAAGCTCTTGAACATTTCATGAAGATCAAATAGATTCTTATTGTCAGAACCAGATAAAGTACAGCGCATCTTGCAGCCCAAGATATGACAATCAGAATAGTTCCAAATGGATTCATCATCCAACTTGCAATAATCCTTGGCTTTCCAATCAAAGGTGAGTAAAGAAATTCTGACTTCCCAATTACAACTGTAGACAGACATTGGTAATTAATGTTAGCAAATAGTTAATTAACCATTCATGGTTTTGCATGGATGGACATAAATCTGATCCAAATTAATTAATTCACTAGATAAACAAACAGTAATAAGAACAATATACTGATCAGGGAACACATGGGACCTATACAAGCAAATTTGTTGCTAACATAAAATTCGGATCAAACATTTGATGACCAACAGAGTTTACTCAGTGTGGTGGAGGACAACAATCTAAGTGAGTTTTTACGATGATGCAAAGAAATATAAATGTATGCATGTATATACATTACTTATATAAAATTATCAAAACCATATCAATCACGTGATGCAAATGATATCTTTCCCTAGAAAAAAAGCCATAAACTTTCAGTGGTTATAACTGATATTAACTATGCCAACTCCAAGAGGAGATATATAGATCTCAAAAAGCATGAGCCAAATTCTTTTAATAGCAACAGGTAAACTTCATTTTGTTGATTCTGCTAAAGCATATCCTTCTATCAAGCGAATCAGGCAATTCCTCCCAACTTTTTCTTGAGGTTTCATTGAACCAACTATTGAGCTTTCCATAACAGAAACAGGTTACTGGATAATATTGCCAATTCATCTTATTCACCAAATCATCTTTGGAAGAGTGAGAAGAGCAATTGTGCCTCTATGTTTAACTTTCCAACCAGCTATCCACATCTTGTCACACAGTTAACCTCATAATGGGGAACCTATAAACAAATAGATAAAGTACTCAACAAGGAAGACAAAGATTAATCCAAATATGATCATCATATTGATTCATCTTTTAACTGCCAAACTGTAGCCAATCAGATGGTATCTTTTATTCAATGCCAGCATCCTGCCAAATTACTGTTCAAGTTTGCTGGTGTCCTTCTCTGAACTCTATTAACTGACCAAAATAAATCTTAAATCACTAATCTCTTCTAGCTACTGTCCCATAATTTTAAACAGTTTAAGTTTTCACTATTTTACATATTTACTAAGCTTTGTTATGATCGTTTCTTTTGCACTAAATGTTTGTTAAACCTAACCCATAACTCCTCCTTAAAAACATAAATGATTGAATACATCTGTTGTTAATGACTTTGTTCTATGTAAGAATCCAGGAGGTTACACTAAAAGGGATAAAACACATGATTGCGGAATCAGCAGAGCGTGACAGGCTATCCTGATTCTCATGGTAATTGTTAATGGGAATAAGCATAACAGCATATAATGCTTAAAGTTTTTCTCTAAGAAGTTAGAATCAGTTAAAAGGCCTAGGACTATTAAATGGATCTCATGATCATATATTTATATTGACTATTAACTAGAACCTAGGGTCATAAGCACCATAATTGCATGTCCTTTCCTCAAAAGTCATCAAGATCATTGATCAGGACAGCAAAGGTTTGGCATCATTGATTTCAACCCAAAGCAAACCCAGACCTGACATGGGTACCTACCTTCCTAACCGAACCCCATCCCAAACCCAATTAAAGGGGACTTGAACCCAATTTATGTGGGTTGGTAAGACAATGGACCAAAATACCTGAACTGCCATCCTAGCTCACGCAAGGATTGACAATGGATCCAAACCTGACTAATTACCTAGGTATCTGAACACTAACTCATGTACCAACTTCCCTACCTGAACACATCATAAACCTAAGAAAAATCCAAGACCAATTTAAGCAGGTCAGACCCGACTAAAAAAAACCAATCCACTGCCATCCCTAATCATTTGTTAAAAAGGTCCATCCTGCATTGCTGACAAAATATACATGAAATAGGGCTAATTGGAGCCTTACCATTTTGGTAGGCACCACAAAAACCTTGAAACTTGAAAGGCTAGCTAATAGCAAGGCTTTCAGTACCAGTCGGCTTAAACAGAATCCATGTAAGTATTATCTAAGATTGATCATATGTTTCAACACAATCAATCAAGTCAGCTTTTTCTCTTTTCCCTCCTTTTTCAATCTAATCTAATTGGACCAATTTAACCCAACCAATATTTAAACTGATACAAAAATAAATAATGACTAACAAAATTAAATAATATTAATAAATTTATTTATACTAATAAAATAATTATAAACAAATAACTGTTAAAATAAACAAAAAAATTATGACAAAAAATAAAATATGGTAAAATCAAATCATTGTTTGTAAAATAAAAATATATGTTTTAAAAATAATATTTTGTAAACAAATCAATAAATATTAAATATTAATTACACCCAATGTCATTATAGTAACACTTCAAATATTAAAATATTTTTCATCAAAATTACTTTACCTATAATAACAAAAACCTCTTTTTTGGGCCAAAATTCATTCTACAATTTCATATAAAAGAAATTTTAAGCTTTCAATTCATGAAGTTATTCATGAAATGAGTGGCTAATTGATAAAAAAAAAAAAATTATCACAATTTTAATTTTAGTGGACTCAAATTAATAAAAATATCATTTTAGGCTTCAAAAAAAATCTGTTGAATCTCATTTTACACCTAATTTCCAAGAGTTGTCAATTTAGATATTTTTATCTTCAAATAATATAGTTTACAGTTATTTTAAATGAGCTCACTGACTTTTACACTTACATGTACCCCTATCAACCAGGGCGTGAACTAGATTGTTAAGATCATGGTGCGCAGTACCAACCCATACCGCCCGGTATGGGCGACACGTATCAATCCGACAAGGGACCAATACGTGGACTGCCCTTTACCGAGCAATACCATAACCTAACCACGTATCGGGCAATGCAAGGTTTGTACTGGATGGTAACGGTCGAAATCTGACCATTACCGACTTGAGGGCGATACCATAACCTAATCCCATATCGAGTGATATGGGGTGTGTACCGGTCGATAACGGTCGGATTTCGACCATTATCGATCAATGACTAAGATCGCCATATTTCATAGGAAAGGGTTTTTAAACCCTTTCCCCTTTCCTCCTCCCTCTTTCAACTCATATCAATCTCTCAATCTCTTCAACTCTCTCAAGCTTATTCTCACTCACATCTAACAATTCAAATCATTTCTTTGTAGATAATTCAATATTAATGGAATGATGATTCAAAACGTATAACAAAATTACTCCCCAAAGCTCAAAAAAGATATATGTCACTATTCTTTCTTAATTTTGATTATTTTCACTAAAATTATACTAAATTTATATTTATTTCCAACTTCAAAATCCTAAACTAATTTTTTCTAATTTTCAGGTATTTTTGGAGCTTATTTTTTGGGGGCATACCATCAGTATGCCTCGGTACGTACCGTACCGACCATTGGTCAATATACCGGTACGGATCGAAATTACAAACCTTGGTTAAGATATCTTGGTTGACTGAGCTAGATCAATTAGCTCAATCAGATCAGATTGGGACTCGAATCATGGGGAAGGGTTAGGGGTGGGGTTAAGGATGTTTAGATATTTTATTTGACTGGCCCATATCTAGCTTAGTCAAATTAGAGTTGGACTTGAATTGGGAGAGCGAATCGGGTTTGTTAGTTCGGACTTGGGTCTGTTATAGCTAACAGAACCAAACTCAATGCATTTGAGCTAACCTAGCGAACGCTTAGGCAGACCAATGCCCAGGACCAGGAGTTCGCATAAGGAGCATCCAAGCCTAAGTGCCTCCTCAAATTTATTTGAGGCGCTCTAGCCTCATCTCACCCAAGTGCCTAGACAAGCACCGGAGGCCTCTTAATAGCATTGGCTCAACTCCCCAAGGATGGCACACATGCAATTTTGATTTTATTGATTGATACAAAATTGCTATTTGTAGCTATTCATTCTCATTTCTATTCTTTGATCTTATATAAAGAATAAAACTCTTTTGTCACATATACTATCTGAAAAGCACATGCTAGACATGGATAATAAATACTTAGTAACCAAATCTTAACTAAACACATTACAAATAACATATACCAAAGATAGCAATATATACCTTGCCCCAAACTCAGGGAACGCTAAAAGAATCCTTATTAGTAAGGATACCAATTCCTGTGGCCTTTAAAGGAGTATGTCAAAGCCCTGATTTTGTATATATTTAGTCCCACACAACAAAATAGGGCACGCCATAATATAGGATGTACCATACCTCGCTAGTTACAAGGCCCTCATCAAACCTTGAACCATCTCCTAGACATCCACCATTGTTACCGCTTTGTCCGTCATCAAACTTTAGTCTTTTTCAGCTAATCAGTCAAAAGAGACAAAAAGGTCATGATATTTCATGGGCCATTTGCCCTAATCGAAACCAAAGATATCATAATTTAACATTAGGATCATTTGACTTGGGGATGAAATATTCAGGCTTACTTCTGTTAATCCTTAGATTAGTGAGGACTAAAAACATATAAAGAGCTCTAACAAAGATTAAGGCAAGATTTGGAATTACTCCTAATTGTAATAAGAAGATGATCACCATACCTAAGTAATGAGATTTTGATTCCTTTGAGATTAAAGGGAATGATTTTCTTGTGCCTAACAAAATTAGTGAGAATATTGGATAAGACATGGTGAATTAGGATAAAGAGATAAGGAGAGAGGAGGTTTCCTTGCCTAATTTTCCTATGACTCTGGAACCAATTAGAAGAGTTACCATTAATGAGGCAAACAAATCTAGAGGATGAAACAAAAGTCATAATCCACTGAACAAAAACAGAAGATAAATACATTTTACTCAGGGTTTCAAAGATGTCAGACCAAGTAAATGTCAAAAAGACTTCACCTTGATGAGAATAAGAGGAGATATTTAAAGTTGGGCCTTGAATAAACAACCTCATTGGTGATAAGGATATTATCATGAATATTCCTACTGCTATCAGGGACAAAAGCAAATTGTTGTTGGAACTAAGAGGATCAATTTTTAGCTTAATTTCATCCGCAAAGATTTTATCAAGTGATTTATGAAGGAAATTGGATAAGGCAATAGGTCTAACGTCTACAACCTTTTATATGTTGACTTTCTTGTAATGAACACCAAGTTTTGCCCAGATAATGGGGAAAGATCCCCTTGAATGAAAATTAAAGAAAGCAAGCAGGTCATCATTTTTTATGGTATCCAAAAGTGTTTTAAGAACTGAGCAATTAATCCATCTCGTTGTTATGAATAAACACTTGAAAGATATAAGTTCCTGCTCTGTGAATGTGGTTTCTTATGAGCTTACACACGGTATGATCATGTTATTGTAACGGGGCACAGCACCTGGACCTATGAACAAGTTCACTTGAGATTACGATATCTAAAATTGGACGACTTTCAAGCGATTTAGAGGAAAGGAGGTCCATACCTTGCATGCTTGAAGAGAGATGCAGCCAACGCCCCGGACCTGGGGAATTGCCAACCGGACCACACAGCAATGGGCAAATACAAGTCAATCAACACCACCGCCCTCACCTCGCCGTCCCCTCGAGCAGAAATCCTCACGACTCTGGCATCAATCTTCACGCACTTGTAGGCCGTGAGCGCCTGCAACTGGTGGACTACGCTCATGCTCCCGTTGACCAGCCCGGCCACCCTCCGCCTCCTCCTCTTCGACGCCGACGAGGGCAACGTCACGGCGGCATTCCCAAATGCGGCCATGGTCCTCCCCGGAGTCGCCGTCGCGGCGGCGGTGTCAGCAGCTGCGGGCGGAGGCGAGGCGGTGCGGTCGGGCAAAGGCAGCAGGAGGACGCCTTCATCGGAGCGGAAACCGACATTAGGTCCGTCGGAGAAAAGGGAGCAGGAGGCGCCGGGGGTTAGGATTTGGGTGGGCGAGGGCACGGAGAGCACGACCTGGAGGAAGCCGCAAAGCTTGTGGTCGCTCTCCATAAGAGAAGCCCGAATTGTTGTCGCGGGACCAGATTAGGGTTCCGAATGCTCGTGGCGTTCGGCTTTGGAAGACATGGAAGGAGGCAGTAGCCAAAATAAAACGATAAGTGAAGATGGAATAGGAGAAGGATTCGTAGCAAAGGAGAGAGGGGATGGGTGAAGAACAAACGACGACGTGACGGACTGGAATCGGATCGACCGAAGACGCCCGACCGAACTCATGATCCGTTTGCTTTTTATCTTTGTTTAATATATCAGACGAAGAAATAACCCGTTATGGATACGTTTGTAAACCGCCATATTTCACCCTTAAATAATAAATATTATATATATATATATATATATATATATATATATATATATATATATATATATATATATATATAGAGAGAGAGAGAGAGAGAGAGAGAGAGAGAGAGAGAGAGATTATTGACTTATTATTGGAGAAAAGCCTCATTTTTTTAAGTTTTTCCATAATGCAGAAAAATGTTTTATATTTATAAATTGATCAAAATGCTTTTATTATAAAAAAAAGGTTTTTTTCCCAAATCTAATTGGGTTGGATCGAATTTTTAGTTCGTTTATATTTGATTAAGTCAGACCATCAAACTCAAAGTTACTTGAAAGGGTTTGATAGCATATTTGTTGCATGAGTTATTCGAAACTTCTGAATAACATTTAAACATATACTACATGTAATAAATATATGTAATTTCACATCAACTGAGGAGACACAAAACAAAACAGCACAAGTCACTTTTTATCTTCAGATATATTCTTTTTTGGTCTACCCTGACGATATGATCAAATTAATCAAGATGCTATTTCAACGCGATTGAATCGGTCCAATACACTATTAATTTAAATATTAGAAGAGCTTTGTAAAATTAAGAATATGATAGTCCTCTATCCTGTTATATGCGGTTACATTTAACTTTTTTTCTTTAAATTAAATCATTGATATTTGGTGTCTATAAGAAAAAGATAAGATCATCCTCTATTACCTATCATATAGACGATCTAAAATAAATAATTATAAGCTTCATCTCCTCTCTTGATTATGCATGTGGATAAAAGGTAAGAGATGGATAAAGATGATGGTAGAATATTTTATAAAATATTTTATTATTTTATGATCAAATATAAAAGCTCATCTCCCGTTTATCTTTTTTAACTATATACATACTTTGGTGTTAGAGGAATTGAATCGAAAATTTATTTTTAACCTTAATTTTTGTATAAGTAATACATAGGTTTTCATCTTAGAGATAAGTTGGACAATTATATATTTACGGGTTTAAATTATATGAAGCTGATCAATAACTTATTCGCTCGTCAGCAATTGATAGTAAAAATATTAAAAATATTAAAAACTAAAATTTGGCAGTCTAGGGATTGATTTTGGAAACTTGAAGATTTCAGGAAATGTGAATGCCATGTCCAATCATTTATCCTATGATATTATAAATAATTTTAAATTGAATGTGCTTACAACTTATTATTTCATTAATGACTAACGATACTAGTATGATCCTAGGATTTTATCTTAGAAGAAAAAGAAGAAAAGAGAATAATCACTTCAAGAAGATCGACCTCCTTGATCACTTCGAGGGGATCATTCTCCTAGGGTTTTGTCACAAGACTGAATAACATTTAATTGTCATACGAAAAGAAACGATTATATCACTATTTATAGAGTTCCACCTAGAGTCCATTAGGACTTTGACTCTTAATAATAAATAAATATTAAATAAACCTCTACTCGAGAACTAAATAGACTCAATAAACATTACTCAAAAGCTTAGAAAATAAATGGATCCTAACAATTCCTTCCTTTTCAAATTAGCCTTGTCCTCAAGGTTGAGTAGCATTAAACTCGGGGAGCTTCTCTTTCAGCACTTCAGTCATAAGCTATTTGCAACGCATCACAACCTATTGATTAAGTAAGTATGGTCTCCACTTTTTGATAGTGTAAGCAATAGGCCGGTCTTTCAATGTAGTAATCATTGCAAGAAACTTCTGGCCTTGTATAATCAATTTTATCTTCGAACATTTGCTATCACAAGTTAAAATTCGTCCATCAGCGATCTTTATTTCGAATTTATCCCAGCCTTCAATGTGGTGGGTCAATCGATCAACAGTCTTACTGTTTATAAAATTATTAGTACTACTAGTATCAATCAAAACTATAACATATTGATGTTCTAGAGTTCCGTCAACTTTCATAGTTTGCAGGTTAGAGTAGCCAGTTAATGCATGCATTGTATGTATGGTAAGTCCAACATCTTTATTAGAATCTAGACCTTCATGATCTGAGTCCACATTCTTAGCTTTCGGTTCCTCTCCAATTGGTTTAATCATCAAAAGTTGACCTTGTTTACATCGATGCTCCATACTCCACTTTTCATCATAGTACAAACTCTTTGCTGATCTTTCCTTGAGTTCTTCTTGGGTTGGTCTTCGGGTGTCAGGGTTTTGGTTGGGAATATATGGGGCAAGTGGCCTGCTGATCATCTGGTTGTTGTCACTTCTGTTTCCATGATTTTCTCCGCTAATTTTTTTCTCATGTAGATGTGCGAATGAGATCGCAGCTATCATAGTACAAAGTTGACGAGCCTTAACTTCACACTGGATATCTGGATTAAGTCCTTCAAAAAATGTTCTCACCAGTTGTACCAATCTCTAGCTTGATTTGATAATCATTCAAATTTGCTTTGATATTCTAACACTATAGAATATCAACATTCTCGTATTCAAATGGTCTAAAGCGAATAAAAAGTTCTCTTTTAAATTACTCCTACGAGGGAACTCCGTGACAAGTTTTATACCAATCATACTACTGGATTACATCTTCCTCTAGTTGGATTGAGGCTATTTCCACCTTGGATTCTTCTGGAGTTCTGTGAAAATGAAAAAAAAATTCTGCCACAGAGATCCAACTGGTCGGATCTCCATCTTCCCATCTCAAAAATTCTACCTTCATGTGTGAGTAGTTTATGTCACAATCTTAGGGCTATTTTCTTGTATTTTTAGAACTGTGCAACATAGAAATTGAGCTCCTATCTTGTTGAAATTTGCTAAAGCTCTCCAGTAGACTCTTTTTGAAATCATTAAGTATTTCTTACGATCGGTTCTCAATTCTGATTTCCAATGCTTCCATTTGTGCTTTAATTGAGCTATCGATGACCATTGTGTAAGACTGCAAATATATAATTTCAACTCCTATTTCTAGTGTCGAGACTAGGGCATTAATTACTACCATATTTGGTGCTACTGTTGTGACGTAGTCGGTGGCAGCACTATGGGAATGGAGGGTTATTTTTGTTAAGATCGGAGCGGCACTAAGAGGGGGGGGGGGGTGAATTAGTGCAGCGGATTAAAACGTCAGTTTTGACAAATCTTTCGTACGATAAAAATTGAATTCGGAAGTGCTTAACTTGAAAGCGTATTCGTAAAGTTGTGCAGCAAAGGTAATGAGGAAATAAAGCTCGTAAGAAGGTTTGCAGTAATGTAAATAGCAATAATGAAATGCAAACCAGAGATCACGTCGATTTTAAAGTGGTTCGGTCAAATGACCTACATCCACTTGCGAGGCCCTCTTCGATGAGGCTCTCACCTTCCACTAGCAAATCTCTTGAAGGGGAAGGGCAAATACCCCTCTTACAACTTTTTACAAGCGGTTCACACTCTTAAAAATTTTCAACAAGAAAGAAGGAGGTGAACACTCTAGCAAATTGAAAACAAGACTTGCTAAGACTTTTCTAAGACCTTTCTCTCAATCAATTGCTACTCAAAAAGTTATAATCTTAGTTGAGAATTGAGGGGTATTTATAGGCCTCAAGAGGATTCAAATTTGGGCTTCAAAATTTGAATTCTCTTTGGTTCCCGATGCTGGTGGTGCCACCGCCTGTCAATGTCTGACACTGACAGTGGACTGGCGGTGCCACCGCCTGGCTCTCGGGTGCTGCGCGGTGCCACCGCCAGACCCTTCGGTTCATTGGTTGGGCTTTAAATTTAGCCCAAACCAAATCCGAACTCAGGCCCAATTGGCCCCTACTTGGGTTATAGGATTAACACCTAATCCTAACCCTAATTAATGTGCTAACTACGAATTTAAAAACATTTCCTAAGCTATTACAAAGTCTGCAAGTCAAGACTTTTTCTGGTGAGCTTCCGGCGAACTTCCGACGGTCTTCCGATGAACTCTCGGAAACCATTCTGCGGACTCCCGGCAAGCTCCTAGACTTCACGATTTGATCTTGGCGAGTTCCAACAAGCTTCTTCGGCAAGCTCCGATCTTTCTCGGCGAGCTCCGCGAACTTCCAACGAACCTTCCGGCGAGCTTCCGAAAAACCCTTCGGCAAGCTCCCTATTCATTCTCGGCTAGTTCCGGTAGCATTCCCGACGAACCTTCGGACTTCCGTCGAACTCTCGAACTCGCAACAAATCCTTCGCGCTTGACTCTGACACTTTGTTTCGCTTTATGTCTTCATCGTTATTGTAGTTAAACCTGCACACACAAGCCAAAACTCTACTCCGATCTAGACAATTATTATAACGCGAATTGACATTCTGTTGCCCGGCACGTCATTGGTTGGCCCGATGCCTGACGTCCGAAGCCTTCTGCCATCCAATATCCTAACGTGATCTCCTTCGGTGTAACGTCAATTCCTCCTGCGTTAATTATCTAATCCTGATCGAGTAGACCTGCATCACTCAAAACGTAGATTAAATCATAAACACATATCAATTAGTTTCATTATCAAAATTCGAGATTCAACAGCTATGAGGATGCTGGAATGTAGTTGTGGTCGCTGTGTGGGAGGTAGCGATGCTTGTTGCGGTCACTGCATGGAGAGATCGTTGTTGCTGAGGGCTGGGAGGCAGCGATGGTCGTGCGACCGAGGGCAGCGCCGTCAAGGGCTCACTGTTGCGATGGCTACGACCATATGAATGGAAGGCAACGTTGCTCTGTCTTTGTCGCACTATGGAAGGAGGCGCTGGTGATGCCGAGGGATCGTGTACGGTTGAGGAAACGACAGTGGCTACGATAGTCATGATTGCCTTGTTTTGATTGATGTGAGGAGGGATGGTCTAGCGACTTCAGCTACAACCTAAGGGGAGGCAGCGATGGTGGCGCAATTGGGGGTAGCGTCGTCGATGGTAGAAGCGACGAGGGGGTTGGTCCGCTGGCCAGGAAACAACGATCATGGCCCTTCTTGCTTGAGTAGGGTGGAGCAGCAAGGAGGGAAGGCTGCTGGCTGAGGAGCAACGGTGACGGTGGTCATTAATCGGAAAGCAACAACAGCAGTGGGGCTGGTTGAAAGCAGGGGAAGCAGGGGGCCCTTTCGACCAGATGGGCTTCATATGGGAGAAGATAGGGTTATGGCGGTTACAACACAATGAGGAGAGGAGGTTGTTGGTTGAGGGCAGGGAGGCTGCATGCAAGTTGAAGGCTAGATGGTTGTGGCGGCATTGACAAGGTCGAGAGGCAGCGGAGGGTCCAATGGCTACGACAACAGAGGATGCTCTATTGTTGATGTCGGTGGAGAAGAGGAAGTGGTGGTCACCAAGGCTAGGAGCGAAAGGGAAGACGGTCACAAGGCTGCGGTGGGACATGATACTGGCAGCATCATCTTTGGCAAAGGCTCGGAGGGATGACTATGGTGGAAGGCGGGATGAGGCGCCCTTTTCTCGCTCGAGCTTGATGGGGGTGTGAGTGGTTGCAGCGCAACAAAGGGGGGAGGCATGCTGGTCGGGAAACAACGGCGATGATGGAGATCGAGTTGCCCTACAGCAGTGGTGGAGAAGGGGGGCGGGGCAGAGTCAATCGCTGACCGAAGAGCAGAGACGACAGGTGAGATGGTCGGAAGTAGGGAAAGCAGGGGTGTGTGGCTGCGGCTTCTTCTTCCTCTCTTTGTTTTTTTATTTTTTATTTATGATAGCTACGACAATCCTACAGCGATAACATCAAGAATCATCGTTCTGATACCAATTGATAAGATCCTAGGGTTTTATCATAGAATAAAGGGGAGAAAATAGAATGATCACTTCAAAGGGATCACCCTCCTTGATCACTTCGAGAGGATCAGGCTCCCAGGATTTTGTCACAAGACTAAATAATATTTAATTATCCATCGAAAGAAATGATTACATCACTATTTATAAAGTTTCATCCAGATTTCATCATTATGCTTAATAATAAATAAATATTAAATAAATCTCAATCCGATTCTCATTGAATTAAATAAAATCAATAATTATTATTCAAAAACTTAAAAAATAAACTATCAGATCATGACAAACAGAAGGATTGAATTATCAATTTGCCAAATAAATTAGGTTAAGTACTAACTCTGAAATGCAAGCTAAAAGTTGGAGTAGACCTACCTTTTGTTTTCTTTCAAGAACAAGAGCGAGAACATACACGGTTCTCACACGTTTAAGACGGACCGTTATCTTTCTACTCCGATATATCTGTAAAAACGGTTCCGTGTTCTGGGCTTGACCTTTCTCACTCCGTCATCTATCCTTCCACGCGTAAGCTCAGCTGTGTGCTTCAAATCACCAAACAGGATATCAACGTTTTCTACTGGTGGCAATCCGTGGGTCGACCCATGTGGACCCCACTTAGCACCCGATTTACGGTTGTCAGTCGCCGTCTTGAGTTAGTTGATACACGGAATCCGCACCCTTTAACTCGTTTGAATCGGTCTTCTCCACGTCCATCGTCAAGATTCACGACAAAAGCCGTCCTATCCCACTTCGTCATCACCGCGCTTCTGGGTGGCTCCGTCTCTGCCGCCCTCCACTACTTCTCCTCTTCCCTCCTCTTATCGATCGCCAATCCTTCTACAGCAACTGCTTTCCCTCCTCCTTTCCGTTTCACCATGCAGCCCGAGGATTCTGCCCCGAGCACTGCCGAGCTCCTCTCCCGCCTCTTGGATTCCGTCGACGAGACCGCATCCCTCGCCGGGCCTACCGACGTCGCCGAGTCCTCCCACCACGTCCCCTCCGCCCTCCCTTATTTTTCGGCCTTGGTAGGCCGCCTCAACCCCATCCTCCACGTCCTGCTGCAGCAGCCGTCCGAGCTCGCCGATGCACCGACCGCAACCATCAAGAGGAGCGCTGTCGAATCCCTCGACTCCGAGCTCCGCCGCTCTCGCTGCCTCGCCGAGAGATCGACTGGGTATCCCTCCACGTTGGCCGCCCGCCTGCTCGACGGCGCCGCTCGCAACCTCGCGAGAGGAGTCCAGGTCTTGGCCGGCGCGTGGGCCGATGCACCGGCGAATATTAGGAGTGAGATGGAAGCTCTGCAGATGGAATTGATGGAAGCGCGATTCCAGGGACCGGCGAGTGACAAGGGTGGCGGCACTTACGTAGATACCGAAGACTTGGTCGTGCGGATTAAGAATGGGGAGGAGGATGAACTCTGGGTAGTGATCTCTGAGATTGAGGTCCTACTTGGTGAGGGATTGGTGTGGGAGGAGGGCGGGAGGTTGATCTCCGCTCTTCTTAATCGATTGGCTTCCGCAAAGAGTGCGAATAGGTTGAAGATGATTCCGGTGTTGAGGAGTCTTGCATCGTACAGCACCGAGAACAAGGTAGCATTTCGAGTATACTTATGTCCTTTCCACTTCGATTTCCATGTTATTCAATCTTAGAAGTTTAAGGATTAGATGTGAGTTTGTTACTTTTGTGATTTTGCTTCTTGGAGATGTTATAATTTAGATTGAGTTGTTCACAGAGTCAAGCTAACTTGATTGCTAGATTGATCATAATTCTGTATGCTAGGATCATGAGAAAGTGCACATGGGCACACTGAATGATGCAATGGTTGCATGGTTTGCTTATGTTGTCATTTAGTTTGCAGGAGAGAATGGCAGGCATTGAAGCTCTTTCTACTATAGTGAGATCTTTGTCAAGGTATGTTGAAGAGAGTAGAGAAGCAGTAGGGCTGCTTTTGGATTTGTCAGTAGTCCCGAAAATTCGACAGAGAATTGGTAGAATCCAAGGTTGTATGGTGATGTTGGTTACATTGCAAAATGGAGATGACCCTATTGCTTCACAAGATTCAGGGAAGTTACTGAGAGTTTTGTCAGGTAACGCACACAATGTTCTCCTTATGGCAGAAGCTGGTTACTTCGTACCTCTGGTACACTATTTGAAGGAAGGTACTTTCAAGACAATCCTCTAGTTTCAAAGTTTCATGTACGATGCCAGATATGAATTTCCATTATGTTTGGTTTCTAAGCAACATCTTGTATATGTGTTTTTTAACTACTCAGTTATGTATCTATTATTCAAGGTGTTCAGTTTAAGATGTTTCTTCCAAGATAAAACTAATTATTTTAGTGTGATTTAATAGTAATAATAGCACTGACAATTATCCCTGAATCCTTAACAAAGTAGCAGAAATGACTGAACCAACCCTGGAACTATGATCTAGATTTCATCTTCCTTCTAAGTCATTATGATAGATGATTAGGATTTCACATTGCTAATCGTAGTTCTGAGATCTCTTAGAAACTAAGTCGTTTACTTAAAAGATAAGAACTTCATCCAACATTCTTAAATTGCAACTAGAGATTTTAAGATAATGAACTTGATTAAAAGATCTCATCTTTTACTGTGGAAATTATATCATGTAATTTCAGAATTCAGTCGGCCAACTTGAATGGAACTATGTTACTTAATGCTGAAATCTCTAAGGGAAATCTTACTTTTTGTTACACAAATATAGGTAACTTAAATAAATGCCGACAAAGTTCATGACATATTGTTTCCTCAAATGATACACTGTCTAATGCATAAAGTGAATGAAAGTGGATTTATTTGTGTTGGACTGGAGGTGACAATTCAAATGGCCTCCATCTCAGACCATATTATCATAAATTACTCCTTTTAATGTAGTTTCTTTTATCTTTGATCCCAAGATCAGTAATTTGTATGTTGTAAATGAAGAATTTATGGATTAAATTTGGATACTTAGGCAGAGTATGCTAAAAGCAGTTTAGATGTTTGCCCATAATGTGCCTCTTACCTATATGCAGAATCCTGTTTGTACTTGAGGAATCGCAAAGGTAGCTTTAGCGTTTGCACTCATTTCAAGTTGACAAAGTTTTACTTTAGTTCTTATTCTAATGGGGTTTTGGTGATATTAATAATCAAAGACTACTTGTGTATCCCCAGTAAGCACTACTCCATACCTAGACATGAAATCTGCGTTGTCTTCATCTCAATATGTGGACTACAGTTGTTGACATCTATAAGGATCCACTACTATGTGGACTACAATTTCTTCCTGAAATAATATAAGGATCCACTAAATCCACATCTATATGGTTTACGAATTAGGAAACCATCTATTTAGCTATCAAAACATTCAGGCCCTTCTGATTATTTTGGTCTCCAAGCATGTCATATTTTCTTTCACATTTGACTCTGTATGCATCAGTGCACTGACTGATAGCTTTAAAGAATTTACTTCCTTCTAATATGTATGACATAGTTATTCTTGCTGATTTGTTTGAAACCTATCCTGCTAACTTGGTCCATTCAATTAATATTGCATCTGCAGGTTCTGAAATGAACAAAATTCTTATGGCAAATGCAATTTCAAGAATGAAACTTACAGACCAAATGAAATCTACCCTTGGAGAAGAGGGCTCTATAGAACCCCTCGTAAAAATGTTTACGATGGGGAAACTCGAATCCAAGTTGTCTGCACTGGGGGCCTTACGTAACCTCTCTGGCTTGAGAGAGAACATTCACCGTTTGATCAAGTCAGGTGCTGTAGAACCATTACTTCAGCTCCTATTTTCTGTTACATCTGTGCTTGTGACTCTTCGAGAACCTGCATCAGCTATACTTGCGAGCATAGCACAATCTGATCTAATCCTAATAAAAAAAGGTGTGGCACCACAAATTCTGTCTCTTCTTAACCACTCAAGCCCTGCAATCCAGATTCATCTTTTACAGGCTCTTAATAGCATTGCAAGTCACCCTAATGCCAAAAGAATTAGAACCAAAATGAAGGAAAATGGTGCTATGCAGCTGCTTCTGCCATTCCTAACTGAGGACAATCCTGAGATCAGGATTGCAGCCTTGAACTTACTATTCCACATCTCTAAAGATTTTGATCCAGCAATAGAGTGTTTTGAGCAGCTAGGAGAGGCTCATCTCAACATCCTAGTAAATATTGTCTCGACATCAATTTCAGAGAGTGAGAAATCTGCTGCTGTTGGCATTCTTAGTAATCTCCCTGTGAATGACAAAAGAGTAACAGAAATTCTTGCAAGGGAAAACTTACTCCCTGTTTTGATTTCTTTGCTTGGGGAAACCATCATAGGATCTTTAGGTACTACAAAAATGTTGTTACTTGAGAGCATTGCAGGCGTGATGATTCGGTTCACGGTTCCTTGGGATAAGAAAATGCAGAGAATATCAGCATCACATGGTATTATTTCTTGCCTTCTGAAGTTACTTTCATGTGGCTCTGCTGTTGCCAAATCTAAAGCTGCTATTTCACTGGGTCAGCTATCACAGAATACAATTGCTTTGAGCAAGGTCAAGTCCACTAGATGGTTGTGTGTTCCTCCATCATCCGAAACATTTTGTGAGGTTCACAAGGGCACTTGCATTGTGAAAAGTACATTTTGCTTGGTTAAGTCTGGTGCTATACCTCCTTTGGTACAAGTGTTGGAAGGCAAAGAGCGTGAAGCAGATGAAGCAGTTCTTGATGCCCTGGCAACCTTATTGCACGATGAGACCTGGGAAAGTGGAAGCAATGCTATTGAAAAGGTGTCAGGAGTGCAGGCACTTGTGAGAGTTCTTGAAGTAGGTAATCTGAAGGCTCAAGAAAAAGCGATATGGATGTTGGAGAGGATTTTTAGGCTCGAAGCTCACACGGAGCAGCATGGTGAAGCTGCTCAAGTTGTTCTCATTGATCTAGCACAAAAAGGAAGTCCAACTCTGAAACCAAAAATTGCAAAGATACTAGCACACCTTCAGCTATTGCAAACACAATCAAGCTACTTCTGAGAGGCTTTAATATTTCTTTGGTATTTTGGAGAAGCTTCATAAAGCAACTCAACAAAGTTTGTAATTGTTCAAGGATAAAGGTTCGACCACTCGGTATATATCGATAATGTTCATCAAAGGAAAGGAGAGAGATACTTGTACCCTTGCTGCTGTGACTGGCCCATTATGATCTTGTAGCAACTGCAAGAAGTTATGAGATAAAACTTTGGTTTCAGAATCGACTATGTACTCATAGGGGAAAGTACTGAATGTGAGATCTATAGTGCAAGTTTGATCTTTTATGCCAGAACATTTGTGTACTGAAGACAGCCATAATTTCACCTTCATCAGAAGGCAGAACACAGCAGACTCTTCGATGGAAGTGCTCATGTGTATTCAATTTTTGTTCATATCTCCGGAAATAAAAAAGGAATGTAGGTATGCCAATTCTTACATGTATATAATTTCCATTATAAAATTGCGTGTGCTTTAATATACATTATGCTGTAACAGTTCTTGTAGAGGATGTGCACAGATTTGTTGGGTCTATGGAGCTGTATTTGAATGGTCGAACTTTGAAGTACAAAGTGTAGTTTCATTTATGAAATCATTCTTCGATGATTTAGTCCTAACGATACATCGGTCTCTGAAATTGCTTCTAACAATGGTTTGTTTTCCTGCTGATGTCTACCTCACTGGTAGTTTGTGACTTTGTTCAATGGTAGCAGATCTTCTATTGTTTCCATGCTAGCTTTATTCTTCAGATGTCTATGTAACAACTGAGGGATGCGTACTTGGTAGGGCTGTGTAAGCTCATATCAATGATGCTCGTTGAGCTCCAATTGAGCTTTGAGCGGAATTGTGGATGTCGTCCTTTGACAATAATTTGCTGGTCATGATTATAATAATAAACTTTCTTAGTTTTTTAACAGGTAGTACATCTCAATCTTCATCCGATCACGGTATTCTCATTCTCCATCCGTTTGCCCATATGGGCAAGGGTTTAAAACAAACGATTATGGATTATCCTCCCTTGTTGCCCACAGAGGTTAGGGGAAGATTGTTGAGGCGAGCATAGGCTATCTTCCCATAAAATATTATATTTTACCCCTTTATGATTAGATATAAAAATTTATCTTCAACATAATGAAAGGGGATTTTTTTTTTTATCACTCATGTCTACACTTATATACCTTGGATTACTAACTTAGTTATTAAAGGGATTGGATTGAGAAACCTCTCCCGACTACGATCTTCGTGAAGGTGGTATCTTGGGAGCTTGACGTTTTAACTTTGAAGGCATATCGGACAATCCTACACATACGAGTTTAGACCACATCGATATATCAATTTTTTCACGGCATATAATCTTTTAGCACAATATCCAATCTTAATATGATGCTCGAACTCTTAGTACAAAGTTTGATTTATGACACATTGACCAATTCTTGGAGTCGATATCTAATTTTTGACATGACAATTTTTTAGCATAACTTCGACTCTCCTGCTCAATAGTTGGCTCTTCGGTCGTTTGAATTCGTGATTGAAGTATTTTCTATGTTACTTATCTTAAAAGCATATTAGTTTAATAAACTCATTAATTGATTTTATTATCAAAATTTAAGATTCAGTCGAATATTTCATGAAATATTTTATATATTTACGGTGAAGTTTAAAAGTTCATTTTCAACACAATGAAATGGGATAACCTTTTTGACCACTCGTATCTACACTCATATACCTTGGGTTACTAACTTAAGTGTTGGACGAATTGGATCAAAAAACTTCTCCCGACCACGATCTTCGTGCAGGTGACATATCAAGAGCTCGATAGTTTTACTTTAGAGACATATCGAATAATCCATTGCATACGAGTTCAGACCGCATCTTATTGACTAGGACGTCGATACTTCTTTCCTTGACACTTCTCTTTATTCTCCTTTTTTTTTTTTTTTAATTTCTCTTTTAAGACTGGTTGTTAAACCGCTTATGTATCTGCAGGACTGATGCCTTTGTTATTATAAATAATGGCTTAATCAGTCTTAAAATTTTTGGCTAATATTTTATAGCTCGTTATAATTTTGGTTTTGGTCCCATCTTCAATTTCGTGGCATGAATAAAAAGCTATATACCTTAGAGGACACAGATACCTACTCTTCATATGTGTGTGTGTACGTATTTGTGTGCCTGTATGAAAGAGAAGAGTTTAGGCAAGATGAATACATAAAATCACTCAATGGCTAGTCGTTGCTTCTCCCATGCCATGCATGACATTCTCCTCCCCCCACCCAAAAGTTTAGATCATGTTCCTTTCTCTCTTGGAAACTTGAGTTATTTAAAATTCTGTAATAGGTTATGACCTTCTTTTAAAAAAACAAATTTAGCAATTTCTTCACAACCATGTTTTAGATTGCTTTTGCTTGAAATTACTCTAGCCTTAATAGGAAAACACTTGTACGATATAAAATAATGTAACTGATAATTAATAAATTTATTATTGATAACATGATCATTAGTCATCTCCTTGGTGAAATTAGTTAAGGTCCAAGAAGTAATTTCTTGACATGTAAAGGCAATCAATCAGACTTGTCCTACTTGGCAACTAGACCCACGTCATCGTGCCACATCGTGTCTTCCTTCTTTAATTTAAACATCAAAGTTTCCTTCTTTGTTTCACCTAAGTCTCCCACGTAGTCTCCTTTCGAAGTCACGAATTTATGGATATTTATATTCAAATTTGGCATATTTTTACTATAGTTCTGAAAACAAGTATAATGACTTTGATATATGGTTGTATACAACGTAAATAATGTCCATTTTATATATAGTTTTCTATATATATAATAATGAATATATAGTTTTCTATTTTGTGTGGATTTAGAGATATTTATATTCAAAATTGATATTCTCAATATGATTCTATAATTGAGAATAACAACGCTTATATACGAGTGTGGTGAAGATGATGAGATAATCTTCGAAGAAGTCAATATCACCGATGAAGAGATAGGTAGAGGGAGCTTAAGTAGCATAGGGAGAATGAGGTGACCCACCTTAAGTGATGATACAACGTCAAAATAGTAGGAGACAATAGATAGAGGAGAAGAAAGACAAGTATAACAAAAAGACAAAGAGGAAGACAACAACAAAGATAAAGAAGAGATGAATATAATAGAAGGTAAAGAAGACGAATAGGAGAAAAAAAGAAGAGAGATTACAAATGAGACTAATGAACGATAATGATAAATCAAAAGACAGATAATATAACGATAGCATATGATAGGGAGACGAGAGCATGACAAAAGTACAGAATGGAGGAAGCGGGAGGTCACTTGTCTTTACCATAAACTGGGTTGAATACGAAAAATAGTTCATAGTGAATCAAACAGTTGCAGCGGTTGACGAAAGACGAAAGATAGCAGGTAAAAATCTAATAAAGCGGTTATTCTTAGTAAATTGGCATGAAAATGAGCCAATCAATAATAATCACTCGATTGCTTTCTAATCTTATTTTTCCCCTCCGCAAGAAGAAGTACTTCAGCTGTTTACCGAGTCCGAGAAGAGGCTGCAATCATTCATCTCCCTCGTCGGTACCAAAGGCTCTTCTCAGAAGTAGAATCAAAGATCAATTTTAGGTACCAAAGGCATCCTCTCAAGCTTGTTAGCAGAAGCAATACACTTGAGGAACGTAGCACCATTTTCCCAGACTGACCGATATGCCTTCCATCTTGCATTCCTACGATAGAGCATGCCATCATAGGTAAACATGGAAGCGTGTGAAGTCCCATTTCATGGATTATAAAGGAAGTACATTCTGATTCCTTCCTGCTAAACTTTCTTTTTTTATTTTTATTTTTTTATTTGCAATATTTAGAGAGTCTCTCCCAAATATATATGATAATGAAAGTGACATTTGGTAAGAAACATTTTTGTAAAATCAATTATATATATAATTCTATAAAATGTAAATATTAAATGTGTTGATTAATTAGAATATTTAAAATTGCAGTTTTTGAAGATTGGAAAGCAATCAATTGATATTGATTTGAATGCATAATCTAACATCTGACTTTTTTTGGATTTTATAATTAATTCTTTGCATTTCTAATATCCAACAGAAGTGGTTCAGCCTATTTTTCGAAATAAAAAAAAATAAATTTCTTGATAAAGTTATATAGAGCTTTTCAAATATGTGGTTAAAGATTATTAAATGAGGATTGATTCCCACCCCCCACCATCTTTTCAAATATCGCATATACATCCTTCAAAGTGATTTTATTTATATATATTAGTTAATTTCTTGATTGTTAGCTTAATGTCATTAAATATCCAAAAATTGTTATTACTAATACCCTTCACATATATTATGCATGTTTCTATAAATTAGTAAATTCTATATTTATTTATTTGATGAAAGTATTAACATATATTTTTATTTTTATTCTAAAATTTTTAAAAGCCATTACTAATTATGGTGAATTTAATGGATATATATATATATATATTATATTGGGAAGGAGATTGACGTAAAATAAGATTTGGAAAGGATATATATGTAAAAGCATCAATTAGGCATCCCCATCAAAAGGCCGAGTGTACATCATACGAGTGAGGCATTTTTACTCGGTAGCGGTTGGAGCGCCTGCAAGTGGACAAAAAGGAAACATGGCGATGCCGCGAAGGGGCCATAAGCAAACACCTTCGGTGCGCGTCCATAATAGTTCGGTTTTCCTTGGCAATGGTTGGGTAATTGTAGAAGAGCGTAGTTCCCTTCTCGGCTGCCGTGACGAGTGTCTTCGAAGAGGAGGGATCTCCACCATCCTCTCTCTCTCTCTCTTCCTCGACTTATCTCCTTGGCCTTTGTCGGCACTGATATCTCATTCTGGGGTGTTGCGTGCTCTTGAACCTCGTAGTGTAAACCGGAGAGGAGGAGTTTCTTCGGTTTGATCGGTGGAATGGAGGCGAACCGCTGGAGGCCTGTCCGGGAGGAGGCCTCCGCGGCCACTTCGGATGGGAACTCTGCCGACTGGAGGGCCCAACTCGATCCCCGGGCGCGTCAAAGGGTTGTAGAACAGATGTAAGTAAGAGAACCATTTTTTCATCCCCGAAAATATCATTTCCTTCTATTTGTTGTTAGGTTATCTGATGATGTGATGGAATGGATTATCTCTTGATTTTGATCGATAAGTTGTGGAATCTTTGACATGATGACAGTGTTTGGGATGAGACTAGGGTGCCTCTGTTGGTTGGATGTGAAAATTTGAATTTATCGAGGAAACAAGCATTTTTTGCGTCGATTTCGTTTGCGTTTTTATTATGATCTTCTGCTATTAAGAATGAAGTTGTTATATTCAAAAAATTTATAATATTTTCATGTAAATGTTAAATTCCCAATCTTTATCCACTTCAGCTTCTCGTTCCAGATTTTAATGTTCTTTAATCGATTGCTTCACGCCCCTAGTCAGACATGTGCACACGTACGCTTATGACATATTTCAGAAGCTTGATCTTGTTGGGTGCTTAACGAGGTTCCCTGATTTCAATTGTTGGGCGTGACTTACGAAGGGTTGCGATGTTGCTTCAGTATCTGACAAGGAAATTTAATTTGGTTAATAGAAATGATTCTTTCTTT